GGGAATTCTGATGGAGCTTGAATATGTGGGAAATGTGGAGCAGAATAGTGAACTGAACACCAAACTAGCTGATATAATGACTCTAGATCATGGATGTGCGGATGGAGGGAATTCTGATGGAGCTTGAATATGTGGGAATTAAACCAGAAAGTCTTGGTGAAAAGCTTGTTGGAATAAAACAGGGAAGACTGCTTTGAATTGTAGAAAACTGTCAGGTGCTGTGAAATTACTTATGGTTATAGTAAATGAACATTTATAAGGAAATGTAACAATTATAAAATGCAGCGATTCATGGTGTCTTGCTGTGTATCAAGGCTCAGGAACATTTAATGAATGGTGTCTTGCTGTGTATCAAGGTTCAGGAACATTTAATGAATGGTGTCAAAGTAGTCAAATGGTGTGTATCAAAGTAGAAACATAACTGCAACTTACAGGAACTTACAATGACAATGAACAAGGCAGTGGAGACTAAAGAAACTATACAAATTTTCATAAATGCTTTGAATAAGTTGAAGGTGATTGTACACAACAGCTCTTTGAGTATGACATTGACCATTTTTTCAAGTGTTATTTGTTCTTTTTAACATTTTCTTTTAATTCAACCTCACCATTATAGACAGTAAAAGAAAAAAAAAAGATTTCATTGACACTTTTCAATTAATGTTTTGCTCATTCAAAACCTGGATAAAAGTTCTGTGTTGATGAGATACAGAAATAGTGCTGGATTAAGAAGCAAAAGATTTAAGATTAAATCACTATTATTCTTTAGCTCATTCATACAGTCAGAGCTTTGAGAATGATTGTCATTTCAATTTCTACAGTTTTGACAAACCACTGTAAATAATGGGTCATTATGTTAACTTAAATAACTAATTTTTTGCAAAAATAGCTCTTCTGGTATTGATTTTCTTTTTTAATAAAATAATTCTGTAAAGTTACATCATACGAAAAATGTCTTCTTTTAAATGAATATTCAAAATGATTCTAACATTCATAAAACCAGCAAAAATGCTATAAATTATTACAAGTCACACGTTAATTACAATTATATCAAATCATGTATCATTACAATGAAGTCATTCACAAAAGAAAAATGTTACACAAAAAAAAATAACATTTTTTACAAAATTAATTTATTATTTTCAACTATTTATAAAAATTACCATTTCATTTAACGTTTATATAATACTGTAATAGTGAAAAAGAATCATTGCTTCAAGTCTTCAAAAGTTCATACATCCTTCTGTGCAGAGGAAATGGTAAAGCTTTATCACATACCGAGTTCCAGTCATCACAGTTGAGGTCAAAAGTCATGACACCACCAAACCCTCGGGATTTTATCCACTTTACCTGTAAAAACGAGAAACCAAACCAATGCTATGAAAAGAGATACTTGAAGATCACACAATATGACAGATTCATTAATAAATTAGCAAGTCTCTCTTAAATGTTAAAGCTAAAATATTAAAAGTAGCATTGTCGCATCATGGAAATTCTTGTAAACGAGATGATGGCAAAATAATTAAGGTTAAAATACACACAGAGTGACCCAAATGTGAGATACTGAACTGCATGTTAAAACATCATCATCAAGCGTAACAGTAAACATAAACATAACATTTAAAACCTTGGAAAAAGAAGTCAAATAAAAAAAATTATAACCAAAAGATTAGTTGATTTTGCTTACAAATTCATTAATTTTTTGTTAAGCACAAAGCTACATTTAATCCCGATTTTTAGTGTTACAAGTCTCAGACTTACTGCTGAAGCCACTGGGGCCTCAAACATACTTGTGTCAACTCATCCTGTATGACGACCGGATGTAAAGTTTTAATCTTCCTGCTTTATTCTTAGTCATCCTGCATTTTGCAGTTATTAACAGTATTGTAAATACTGTGGAAAAGCAGGACAAGTAATTCAGCAAAGTACTGAGAAACTGCCTAAAACAGGGAACGAGTACAGCAGAGAAGAATTTTTGTTCTTTTTGTCAATTTCAAAAATTTTAATGCAACTATAATACTTATAAAATTTTTAGCATTCTAATTTGAACTATACATAACTTAAACCCATTTCTATATATAACTTAGTTTTCCCACCACTAACTCCAACACATTTTCTTCAAATGTAGACTGTCTGCTAGCTGTTTCAAACATTCCCCCAAGACCAGAGCACATGTGGCCTTTGGTGTGTCTTGTCCCTTTGACACTGATTAACCATTCTTTTGTTGATTATTACTAGAGCAAAGTTTCTTGATTTAGAGATATCTTTGTCCGTGTCTTAATGCTGTTAAGTTGGCTAAATTCCCTTTCTTATCCTGTCACTGTTGGAGAAATTATCATACTGTTTACTAGTGAAAAAATATGTCTTAAGTGTTCATCATCCTCATTCACCAAGATTCTCTCATATTCATCTATAACAGATCTGTCGAGATTTCTGGCGATGTACATTTTCAAGTCTAGTCACTCTTCCATGATGTATTCCTTTTATTCTTCTTCTTCTTCCAAGAATGGACAATATAGTCTTAATAATTTCTCGGTTTCTTCATATCCATAACCTCTGAACTCTTCAACACTATTATCCTTACTTGGCCAAAGGAGAAAACTGAATATGTTGAACAGAGAGTTTGGTTCTGATACCAAGAAGTTTTATAAATCTCTCTCTCACATGTAAAATTTGGCTGATGACAACACCTTAATGTTAACATTTATTTGCCCTGTTGTGTCATGGTGTCTTTTTTGTCCACCCTTCTAAATTCATTGTTTTAAGTTCAACTCAAAAATGATAAACATTTTGTCTTGCCTTTTACTCACGTGACAAATCTTTCTTTCAGCTCATTCATCCTCTTTCCAACTTTAGCAATTAGACTTTTCTTCTGTTGAAAAAGAACTTAAACTTCATATAGCAAATTTGTCCAGTCTAGCATGAAGTGTAAGAAGGTTTTCACCTTACCCATATAAAAACTTGCTTTCTGTGAATTCTCATTTTAGATGTTGTAGCAATGACCTGCAGATGTATGACCGTTAAACTCCTAGTTGTTAAGAAGAGCTTTCAGACTTCTGTTCTGGCTTACTGCCTAATATATTTGTTGAACACAATTACAGTGCTTTAAATCTTGATCCAATGAAATTGAAATTACATAAAGTTTTCTCCTATATTTTGGTGAATACTAATACACCTTTAAAGACATTCATAATACTAATACACCTTTAAAGACATTCATAATACTAATACACCTTTAAAGACATTCATAATACTAATACACCTTTAAAGACATTCATAATACTAATACACCTTTAAAGACATTCATAATACTAATACACCTTTAAAGACATTCATAATACTAATACACCTTTAAAGACATTCATAATACTAATACACCTTTAAAGACATTCATAAACTGCTAGCACTAAATTGTGTATTCAGGAACATTTAATGAATATAATTATCGAACCAAAATCGTCAATAGAAGTAACAATAAAATATTAAATACAATAAAATCTGTCACAAGACAACTAGATAAGCACAGCTTCAGTATAAAAACATTGGTATAAATAGATCTACGACGTCAATATAAAGACAATGATAAAATCAGACTGGCAACTTTAGTGTTACTCTCTTGAAAGGAAAGAAAGCATAGCGGAGCCCCCAGTGGCACAGCGGTATGTCTACGAACTTACCACGCTAGGAACCGGGTTTCGATACCCGTGGTGGGCAGAGCACAGATAGCCCATTGTGTATCTTTGTGCTTAATTCCAAACAAACAAGCACAACGGAAATTCAATAATCACAGTATACTACAATCAAGTAGCTTCAATAATTAAAATTTGTTAGTCGAGAAACCGTCTTCAAGATAGAACCGTCAACCTGATTTCATCCAAAACATATTTCTACTCAGTTCCATTCCATGTATATTGTTTACAAATAACTTTAATTTTTTAGAAGAGTAGTGATTGTCATTACTGCACCGTAGTTATTCAGCTATCTCTGGTAGGTCTAAGGACTAGTAACGCTAAAAATCGGGTTTCGATACTCGTGGTGGGCACAGCACACATAGCCCATTCTGTTGTGTAGCTTTGCGCTAAACAACAAAATATATTTAGTTAAGGTAATGGCAAAACTATCGCAACAAAAGTAAGAAAATATTACTAGTGGTGACATCTATTGACAACTAATGTTTTTATTTAAGTCGGAATTTTCGATAACTTAAGGAAAAGTTTTTCTTTATACTAACAGGGTACTTCTTCTAATTATTAATTTAGGGCGTATATGATTATATATTTAACTAAGCGACCCATAAAATAACAATGAATAATTAATGTTGAGATTAATTTACTCTGTTCTTGTCTTCGCTTTTAATGGTTTTGCCGTTTAGATGTTCATAATATTGTCAGGTTAAAAAAAACAAAAACAGAAAAACGAACAGCCATAAAACAAAGAAAACATAGTTTGTTAAATTTCCGTGTTATTCTTCTGAGATGAAACTTTAGTATATTTTTAATAAGAATTTTACTGACTTAATTTATAAAATTGTTTTATCAATTTATATAATCCAATGTTACATGTTTGGGCGTTTGTCACGGTCGCACGGGGGTCATTGTTTGATTTCTGACTGACATAAATACTAATTATCTCTGGTCTTCCGACAAGCTGGATTTGTATTTACGGCTAAGCTACTAAGGTTGTCTGTCGTCGTCCTTAATGTTTAACCACTGAAAAGATGGAAGGCAGCCAATCAGCAACATCCTACAAACCTGCTAAGGGATTGACTGTCGCTCTTATAATGCACTCCCAACTTAAAGTCGAAATCTAAAAATATACTACAGGGCTAACCCGTGACTAACGTGTTGAGAGTGGTATCAAGAAAATTCTGTATAGATTTGTTTAGTAATTAACAGCCTGTAAAATAAAGTTTGTAAATAGAAAAGTTAGTTTTGATGCGTTAGTTTTTCAAATGGAGAGACTTGAGTCAAGATTTACAAAATCAGTGATTTTGAAAGTTTAGTGTCAAAAACAAATAAAAAAATCCCACTAGTTTACAGATAAAAGTAACAGAATGACATTCGATGGGTTACGAAAACGACAATTTACTGTCTTCTGAAGAAGTAAACACTTCTGTTACTGCTGTATTTCAGAGGTTAGTGTTTAAGCAATTAATTTGTTTCTACTTTTCAAATGAACAACCGATTTTGTTATTCAAAAGGTCTATATATTTAGATTTAATAAAATGTATTTAACTTTGGTTTTAATTATAACTTTAGAGAAATTAATAATATTAATGTGTTTACTTTCATTTAAATAACAAAGTAGAGTAATATATGCAAAGCATTTTTCTCTTGTGATGTTGTAGTGAAGATACTTATTCTGAGGGGAGACAGCTCTCAGGAGGCACCACTAAAAGTAACCACTACCCCCCAGTAATGAAGCACAAACGACATGCTATCCAATAAATGGGTAGGACTATGAAGGTTTCTCCCATGATTTTTTTACTCCAGCTGATACAAACAATGTCTCTGTCCAGAAAGGGGGACTAAAGTGTTTGTTATAGTTATGAGCTGCAGGGGTATTTTCATGCAAATTGTTCATATCTCGCTTGGCAACAACATAGATGGTCTACACAGCAAGTGCAAGAGGGCAGCAGGAACTTGTGCTGCTGTGTGAAACTTGTGGCTGCTGTCACTCGGGCTCTGGAAAACTAATTGTGTCCAAGTCAGATTCAGTCACTGACTCAGGGGGGGTGCAGCAGACTGTTTGTGCCTAAGGTTTTCGATTTACCCAGGCGAGTCATATGCCCTAGCGAATACCACTGTGTATCAGGCACTCGACATAAAGCTAGTAAACACTCACTTTTTCTGGGCAACTGGTGGCACAATAGATGTAGATCTCATGAAAATTGCTCACCTTCATGCGAGTTGTGGTACTTCTGTAGAATAGGTCTTGAGGTACTCAAGAGAAGCTCTCACACGTACATTCAACCGTATGTAATTCCACATGCAGTGAGAGAGTTGTGTTCTTTATTAGCACAAAATTTGGATTGGATAATTGAATGTCAAAGAAATAGGTCTTATTTCATTGAGTTTTTTACTTTTACGTGATGCCAACTGATTCGATTGGATCAACGTGTTTAAGACAATGCAACGTCCCAGTGTTCTGTGGTTGGTGACCATTCTCGGCAGTAAATGCACATGTCTGTAGATAATTGCATCTAGTCAAAAATTGATTTTAATGTGTGTTGATATACATGGTAGCAACACGATGAACGGTACTTCTGACTATAGAAACTTTAGCTGAAAGATATAAATTGAGCTGAATTCTGCTAGTAAATATGTATTTCACGAGGCCTAGAAGACACC